TATTCCTGAGATACCGAAAAATAATGTTTTGTGTAAATAATATATTTCAACATTAATGAATATGTGATAATATATTTACAAGTTCGTTTGCCTGAATTGATGACACGAAATAACGATGGCCGAATACACCAAGAATATATTTTATTTTGCAACAATAATGCCAGGGAGAACTTTAAAGAAATATTAAATGAGATAGTAGAAAAACGTCAAAATAACAAAATCAATGCTCACTACACTTCTTCTGATCCCAAAAAAACAACGAATGCCGCGTTTTTATTGAGACACTTGAGCGTTTTATTGAGATTGTCACCAAAAGAAGCTTTGAAACCATCAACTGTAAGCGGTTATAGTTTGTAGGTCACTACAAGATGCAACGCCTAGTGATTCATCGTACTCGTACACAATATTAATATTAGATTGCTTCAAGGCGATAAACAAAGCTCGAGAACTAGGTTTTTCTTTTAATTTTCAAGATTTTGATTTATACTAAATTATAGACTTTTGAGTGCTGTAAATATATTTTTACATTTTTAATTTTTTACTTTTTCTATGAATATTATCGCTCCGATACATTACACAGCCGGATTTCCTACGGTGTCAAAATTTTACCGACGGTAGGCTGTTTAAAGGTAAAAAGGGATTAATATACACATTAAACGATGCCATAGTAAAAGTATTTCGGCTTCACAGCCTACCGTAGAAATTCATGACTCTTCTTGTAATATACCTAATGACACAAATTCTTCACTTTTTTCGGAACAATTATACAGTTTGTATAGTAACGTACCAGTGGTTAAAAGAATTCCCAGAGGTGCGAGGATGCAACTTGCTAAAGCATTATCATTCACTATTCAAAATTGTCTAACGAATTGTGAAAAGAGTTGGCAAAAATTATTTACATTCGCGTATTCCCACTTTCATTTTAGTAAAAAAAATAAATAAATCAATTACGTCTCAACTAAAAGAAAATTCTTTTCAAAATTTGAATTACCCGATTAATACTCATTTCTCTCGACCTTATCCTAAATTTAATTTAAAAAAGTAGTTGAATCAAAAGTAATGGACGGCGACTTAAAAAATGCATCCCGTATTCTATTCTCAGATGACATCCTCACTCCTCGTAATGTCGAAACTCTTGAAGGCCTTCGTCAGAAACATCCTTCGGTCAATCCTTCCCAGAATTTACCGCTGCCTCCCAATACTTCTATGCAACCTTTACAAATTTCTGAAAAAGACACTTTAGACGCAATATTGTCATTTTCGAATGGCTCTACCGGCGGCATTGACGGGATTACGCCTCAGCATCTCAAAGATCTTTTAAGCATATCTGTCGGTGACGCCGGTAGGGTACTTCTTAATGATATAACAAAATTATGTAATTTTATGCTTTTTGGTAATGTCAATCCCAATTTCATTCCCTATTTATATGGGACAAGATTGTGTGCCTTCAAAAAAAAAAAGGATAACGGTATCCGTCCTATTGCTGTCGGTTCTACATTTCGACGCTTAACTTCAAAATTAGCTTGCAGGCACATAATCTCAAACCTTAAGACAAAATTTCAACCTACTCAACTAGGCATTGGCACCAAAGGTGGCTGTGAGGCGGCGGTGCATTCGGTGCGTACTTTCTTAACTAATTCCAATGCAGATGTTGTTCTGAAGGTTGACCTTAGAAATGCTTTTAACTCTATTGATAGGATAACCCTGCTGAAAGAAGTGGCTAACAATACCCCCGAAATATATCATTACGTTTGGCAATGTTACCGTCAAAATTCAAACTTGTTTTATCAAAACCATATTATTGAGTCTGCTGTCGGTGTTCAGCAGGGTGTACCATTAGGTCCAGCTCTTTTCAGTTTGGGAATTCAACCTATTATTTCAAATTTAAAATCCAAACTGAATGTCTGGTATCTGGACGACGGTACACTGGGAGGTAAAGCAGATGACGTCCTTAATGATCTTACTCATATTTTCCAAAATTTTAAAAATATTGGGCTTGAACCAAATACCAATAAACGTGAAATATTTATTTCTAATAATTTATCTAATTCTAACAGAGATACCTTAATTCAAAATTTCAATCAGATTTCTCCAGCAATAAAAACTGTCAATTTGAAATCGTTTTACCTGCTCGGTGCTCCGTTGTTTTTCGATAGTATTAAACCTGTTTTAAAAACAAAATTTGATCAATTTTTAAATCACGTTGATAAATTATATATTTAAAACCCCCATATTGCCCTTACCATTTTAAAATATTGTCTCCTTGTACCTAAATTTACATACTTGTTACGCTCAAGTCCAGTCTGGAAATGTTCGGATATTTTAAAAGATGTTGATAGTAATCTTAAAATTGCTTTAGAAAAAATTCTAAATTTGAGATTAAATACAACAGCCTGGTATCAAGCCACTTTACCTATCAAATTTGGTGGTATTGGTGTAAGAAATATTTCTATCGTCGCATTGCCTGCTTTCCTTGCTTCCGTGCATAGTGTCAATGATCTATGTAACACAATTTTAAATAATAAAGTAGACCTGTGCTTTGCTGCGGAGGCAAGGCAAAGATGGCTAACGCTTTGTCCCGGCGAAAATGTCCCACTGTAAGTTAACCAACAAAAACAGTGGGATATTCCGTTGGTACGGAGTGTCCAGAAAAATTTATTTCAAAATTTCTACAGTCGACAAGATCAGGCTCACCTTCTAGCTGTTTCGACTAAGGAATCTAGCCACTGGTTACATGCTCTACCATCAAGTAATCTCGGCACATTGCTTGATGGGGAAAGCTTGCGCATCGCCGTAGGAATCCGGCTAGGAGTGGCAATTTGTCAACCTCACCAGTGCCCCTGTGGTAGCAGCGTCGACGAGTTTGGGCTCCACGGACTTTCATGCAAGAAAAGTGCAGGTAGGTTTTCCCGTCACGGTTCTTTGAACGAAATCATCCGAAGGGCTCTTGTCTCCATAAATATCCCCTCGGTTTTAGAGCCTTGCGGGATATTTAGAGACGATGGCAGGAGATCCGACAGTATAACTTTGATCCCTTAGGAGAGAGGTAAAGCCCTAGTGTGGGATGCTACTTGCGTTGACACTTTGGCGGCCTCTCATCTCAAGGGTACCTTTTTTAGAGCCGGGATGGCATCAGAGGCAGCCGAATTTAGTAAATGGCGCAAATATGAGTCTTTGAGAAATGACTACATATTTGTGCCATTTGCTGTAGAGACTATCGGTCCGTGGGGTCCGCGTGCAGTGAAATTTCTAAAGGAACTGTATCCACGACTGGTCGTCGCTGCTGGTGATAAGAGGGCTGGTTCTTTCCTCGCTCAAAGGCTAAGTATAGCTATTCAGCGAGGAAACGCAGCCAGCGTGCTTGGCACTATACCACGGGGAGCAGGTCTTTTTGACTATTAAAATTTTTAGTTTTAGATTTTCTATATTATAGTTTCTTCTTTTATATTGTATATAATTAGTTTTAATCGTAAATATTTTAATTTTAATTATTATTGTAGTTAAGTTCGTTATTAAAAATAATATCAAACATTAAAAAAAGGTTATCAAAAAGAAAACTTAGAAATGAGGATATGACTAACGATTTAAGTCATAATTCTTATGCGCGAAATTAAAAACAAAGGGACCGCGCGATGCGAGTGAAGTGATAAGAATTGGAAGGGAATGGTGTGAAGATGCGCGTTGTTTATATTATCGTAAAAATTAATGCATTAAGAACCAACTTCAACAAAGAAAGAAAAAAGATTGAACAAGCACAACGGTCTGGCGCGTCTCCCGATGATGTACCAAAACCGTCACTCTACTATTACAATGAACTGTTATTTCTGTCAGACCAAATGTGTATAAGTGATACTGAAAGCAGTTTAAGCAGTGAGGTAAAACATTTTTTATTTACAATTCAAAGATACATTTTACTTATAAGTATGTTTTTAAATAACTAAATTAGGCAATTATTTTGCCAAGGGACTGAACCGTTACCATTAAAGTACTCGCAAAAGTCATCTCTCACTCTTTTTGCCTCATTTGCCGAGTTTCCTCGTACTCGCTCTATATTTAACAATTGGCGTCCTTGTCTCCACGCACCTCTTGTGACTGTGGTATTTGGTTCTTCTATGTCAATATCTCCTGGTTGAATATATTTGTTTTTATTTTTTTCACACAAATAGTTGTGTAAGTGACAGGCAGCCAAAACAACTTTTCGCGTTTTATCGGGATGCAGTCCAATGTCTTTTTTAAATATTTTGAATCGCCAAGACAGGATGCCAAAAGCATTTTCAACCACCCTCCTGGCTCTTGACAATCTATAGTTGAAAATCCGTCTTTCGTCTGTCAAGACGGCTTTGTTGTATGGCTTCATGAAGTTTGGAGTCAGTTGGAAAGCTTCGTCACCTACCAGTACAAACGGAAACTTTTTATCGCTTTCTAGTAACTCACATGGCTCCGGAATATCAAGTTTGTTTTCACTTTCAGAAAACAATTGCCAAAACTTTGTATTTTTCAAAGTTCCACCACCTGACATCCGCCCATTTGCACCAACATCAACCATCATAAATTGATAATTGGCGTTTACAATAGCCATAAGAACAATACTAAATGTCTTTTTATAGTTAAAATAGTAAGATACAGAATTTAAAGGTTTTTCTATTTCGATGTGCTTGCCATCAACAGTACCTATACGGTTGGGAAAGTTCCATCGTCTCTCGAACTCTTTGGCAACTTTTTTCCAGTCCTCGGTACCTGTGAATAGTACAAATATTTGTTAATTTTTTACAGGCTTCCGGGTCATCCAATTATCAAAAAGAGATGCCACAATCAAAGAAAAGCAAAAACACATCACAGCAGGACCTGATAGATATAGCATCGCATTATTTTAAAAAAAACCTGATGACTCTGAATCGGATATAATTGCGAAGGGCTGGGCTCGTAAACTCAAACGTTAATCAGCAGATCAAAGACGCTATGCGGAGAAAATAATAAATGACATTTTATTCGAAGCCGAAATGGGATCACTGTCAAGAAACGGAGTTCAGATCTTGCCTGCTAGCTCACCCACATACACATACTCATACCAGTCACCCGCATCACATCAGTCACCATCACCTGTGCCATCACTAAATGCACTCCACTCAACTACGACATACCAGTCACCCGCACCACATCAGTCACCATCACCTGTGCCATCACCAAATGCACTCCACTCAACTACGACATACCAATCACCCGCACCACATCAGTCACACTTACAAGTCATAGGCAAGACACCGGTGCATGGTACTGCCAAATCACTCATAATTGTGCCATCTCAACCTATGCAGGCGCCAAGTGTATCTCATGAACAGCCCGTAATTCATGTACCAGAACCAACTACTGAAGAAGAAGAATCACAGACTGCGGCTAAGTTCTTACAACACTTCTATTCTTTTTAGTAACTTCTATAGACCAAACTGAGAACTTTTTGGGTATGAATCGGTTGCACAACCGAGCCATACAAGATAAAATAAAAGAAACCAATAAAAAGTTTTCTGTTTTGTCTGTCTCATATTTCACCATCACATTAAGTATTTAATTTTTGTTATGATTATTTTGGTTAAGATAAATGAAAATAAATGAATATCATACATACCATATCAGTTTAACAGTGGTAGAGCCACGCGGCAGCTTTGCTGTTGCACGTATGGGCCGGCTCAAACCGGGGTGGTACCACGACCTCACAGAATACCGGCGTGAAGTGGAAGCTCTGCTTCCGTGTTTCATCTGGTGAGTGCAGGTGGCCGGAGGCCCAACAAATCCCCCCCCCCCCCCATCAACATGATAGCGGAATTAAATGATGATAGACTACCCCAGGAGGGTACCAGCACCCCTGGAGAATCCCTCGATGAGCATCCACGACCATGTTTCTTCACTTCTGAGCGTGGGTGCTCAGCCTGCCCCGCGTATTTTGGGGGGGGGGGGCAAAATTCCGCTCAAGACTACAACTGCTCGGGGCAAACGGAGCAACAAGACCAAGGTGACCCCTGCCACGCTGTCCGTGAATTTCTGCAATATCGGGGGACTTCACTCTAACCTAAACGCCGTCCACTACCATCTCGAGACGGCAAGGCCGGCTCTGTTCTTTCTGACCGAGACGCAGGTGTCCTCTCCGGCTGATGTCTCTCGTATCTCTCCTACCCGGGGTACAAACTGGAACACTCCTTTGTGCCTCGGGCTGGAGTTTGCGTTTACATCAGAGAGGACATCTGTTCTCGACGCCTCGGCAGACTTGAAGGTTCGGACCTGTCCATCCTTTGGCTACGCGTAGACAGCGACGACCATCCGCGCGTCTACGGGTGCCTCTATAGATCCCATAGCGGTAATGCTGAAACAGACCGACTCTTCGTCCACGTCCAAATGGCTACAGATTCGTTGCTACAGCAGATCCCCTCCGCAGAGATCATGATCCTCGACGACTTTAACTTTTGAATGGCTTTTGAATGGCTGTTCATGATTTTGCCTTGGCATATGGTCTGACACAACTGGTTACTTCGCCTACGCGGATTGTGTGGAGGATGATGCACCTTCCCTGTTGGACCTTCTGCTGACCTCTCACCCGGACGGATATCAGATTTCCGTCGACGCCCCTTTAGGCTCCTCGGACCATTGTCTTGTTCGGAGTGTGGTGCCACTCACGCTGAAATCGCAGTTGCATTCTGCAGGCTGCCGCCGTGTTTGGCACTATAGGTCAGCCGATTGGGATGGGATGCGGTCTTTCTTTGCATCCTACCCTTGGGGGCGGGTTTGCTTCTCGCCGGACGATCCCAACGTTGTTGCTGATTCTGTCTGTTCTGTGCGGTTCTGTGGTACCGCTGATTTCAGGGTATGGAACTTTTTATTCCTTCCTCTGTGGTGCCCATTGGAGGCAAGTCTCAGCCATGGTTTGGTCGCTCCTATAAAATAGCATCATGCTATAAGCAGGAGTGCTACCAAGCCTGGGCTGACGCATCAGCGTCCCGGGATGTAAACACCAGCGCTCTAAAAAAGAAGTATAATTCCGCCTCTAGGTCCTTCAAAAGAGTCATTGCCAAGGCAAAGTCAGAGCACATAGCCAGAATTGGCGAGAAACTAGTTCGCCTTCCTTCTGGAACCCGTGCATTCTGGTCTCTCACCAAGGCTGTCCAGGGAATTTCTATCAGCCATCTCTTCCATCTCTGCACAGGGAGGACGACTCACTGGCCCATACCGCAAATTCCCCCAATTGTGCTGAGGACGTGTGCTCCAGAGTTGGCACCGGTTTTAACGCGTCTTTTCCGGTACTCCTACTTCCTAGGCGTAGTCCCAAAATCATGAAAGACGGCTTTCGTCCACCCGATCCCTAAAAAAGGCGACCGCTCAGACCCGTCCAACTACCGGCTTATCGCCATCACCTCCTTGTTCTCCAAAACAATGGAGTCCATTGTAACCTGCCAGCTCATGAGGTACCTTGAGGATCACTAGCTCATTAGTGACCGCCAATACGGTTTTCGACGTGGTCGGTCAGCTTGTGATCTTCTGGTCTACCTAACTCACAGATGGGCGGAGGCAGTAGAGTCGAGGGGGGAGGCATTGGCCGTTAGTTTGGTCATTGCGAAGGCCTTCGATCAGGGTTGCCACAAAGCGCTTCTTTCGAAGCTCCCTTCTTATGGGCTTCCCGAGAAATTGTGCGATTAGATCACCAGCTTTCTTGCAGATCGGGGCATCAAGGTCGTTGTAGACGGTGCAAGCTCCGATTGCAAGCCTATTAATGCTGGTGTTCCACAAGGCTGTGTGCTATCGCCAACGCTGTTTCTTCTGCATATCAATGGTATGTTGCAAACCCGTAACATTCATTGCTATGCAGATGACAGCACTGGTGATGCTCTTTACACCGGCCGAGCCAATATTTCTCGGGAAAACGTCTCCGTGTGCCGGAACAAACTTGTGTCTGAAGTCGAGTCTTTGCTGAACAGAGTCTCGGATTGGGGGCGACTAAATCTAGTCCAGTTTAACCCCCAGAAGACACAAGTTTGCGCGTTAACCGCTAAAAAGAACCCCTTTATCATATCTCCTCAGTTTCAAGGTACTCCCCTTGTTGCCTCAGCCAGTGTCGGAATCCTCGGCGTCGACATATCGAGTGACGTGCAGTTTCGTGGTCACTTGGAAGTGAAGGCCAAATTGGCCTCTAAAAAGCTTGGCATGCTCAGCAGAGCGGGACAGTATTTCATGCCAGCACACCGCCTGCAACTTTACAAGGCGCAGGTTCGGCCACACATGGAATACTGTTCCCATCTCTGGGCTGGGGCTCCCCAGTACCAGCTCCTTCCACTTGACCGCATCCAGCGCAGAGCGGCTCGAATCGTCGACGACCGAGTGCTTTCCGATCGGCTCGATTCACTGGCACTGCGAAAAGATGTTGCATCTCTTTGCATTTTCTTTCGCATATACCATGGAGAGTGCTCTGAGGAATTGTTCGGATTAATCCCAGCCGCCAAATTTCGTGAACGCACTATGCGGCAAACGTCCCGATACCATCCACACCATCTGGATGCTTGGCGGTCCACCACTGTACGTTTCAAGAGGAGTTTTCTTCCGCGTACAACCTCTCTGTGGAATAGTTTACCACCAGCGATTTTTCCGGACCGATACGACCTGGGGACCTTCAAGAAAAGAGCGTACTCCTTTCTAAAGAGCCGGCAACGCACCTGCAATTCTCCTGGTGTTGCGGTTGATCATGGGCGGCGGTAGTTACTTAACATCACGTGAGCCGCGTGCTCGTTTGCCTCCTCTTCTATAAAAAAATAAATACCCGAATATTTTCTTTTAACTTTTGAATTATAGCCTCACACGTCTCCTGTATTATTAAATCCAAAGTACGAGGAGCGACAGCACACATAAACTTTAAATCTTCCAAGTCCATACCAGTGACCAAGTACCTTAGAGTTATAGAGAGCCTTTGGCTGGCAGGAATAGCTTGTCGCATATTGGTATCTTGCTTTTCAATATTGGGTCGAATCAACTCCAACAATGTTTCAAAAGAATCGTTGTCCATTCGTAGAAAATTTTTATAATTGTCGGGCTCAGTTGCTTGAAGAGTTCTTTGCAAATGTTCATGCGTGAATCGATATCTCATTTTATACCACTCCTTACACCATCGCCTCTTTCTTTTCTCTTTTTCTGTGATAGATACCGCTAGAGTTATAGCAAGGAATGCCTTGTCTGCGTTGGAAACCATTATTAATTTTTGCGATGACCACTTTCCTGAGCACAGGGCGGTGAACGACTGCGGCATGTGGACTTGACGGCACCTTCAAGTCGCGTCAAGTCCTTCGTCAAGTGAAATCGTCAAGCACGTAGACTTGTCAAGTGCACTTGATCGTCTCGCGGACCCATTAGGCTATCGTATATATATACATGAGCATACACTTCACACACACTACACGCCCATCGGCAAAAAGAAAAAAAAATGTAGAATTAGATTTTTGTTCAATGTTACAAAACTTAGTGTTAGTTTCAAAAAAATTGAACATTATTTTAAAATATTAAAATTCTTATACTATATCATACTTATAACATAATCAAATAAAAATAAAATATCGTAAACACTGTAATTTAAAAAAAAACAACTTTCTATCTCTGTATTTAAATTTATTAAACAATCATCAAATTCTTTGCATAATTGTATTGATTTTCTGAGTTTTGTTTTAAAATACTTTTAGTTCGCCTATAATAACTGCATAACTTTTAAAATTTTCATATGTAACTATTAATTTACTAGATGTGAAAATACAGTTTTTTTTTTTAAAATTAGTTATCAAAAATATTATAAGGTGTTTATAAGGCTGTTCACAATTTTATTATTTTCTTAAAATGAAACTATTTTTTTTCGGGTGTAGATGCACAAATAGTGACAACATATTTTTTGGGTCTTGTTTTGATAAATAATTAAAATAGTACATACAAGTTTTAGGTATAGTTTTAATAAAATCCATTAAAATTTATTCATCTTAAATCTTGACTAATATCCCATAGCACATGTATTAGTTTGTACCGCGTCTGCTATAAATACTATTCTTCAGTACTACACTTCAACACTGCACTATAGCTGGAAGAAGAAATCTTGAAAAAACTAAACCGGGAGATGCTGTCAAAACACTTGAAAGAAAGTTTGAAGAGTACATATCTTCTTTTCAAGCCCGGTTGGAAAGTTCTCAACCTAATATCACTTCTTTCACCAATGATTTTATCATGTTCAAAGAGACTATGAAGACTGCGCTGGAGATCTTAAAAAAGCAAGTTCAGTCCCTTACACTATTGACTGATAACACTGACAACAGAAGCAGGCGTAAATTTCTTTTAATTCAAGGCATTGAAGAGTCTGATACAGAAAACTGCATTAACACTGTTGTAAATCTGGTGACATTTAGATCAACTCAGA